AGAGGAAGATGAAGAAGATTTGTCTTGAGGAGATGAGGTCGACTGGGGGGGGCAGGGAGGGCGGCGAGACAGGGAGAAGGTGAGAGAAAAGGGCAGGCGACGAGGGAGGTGGCGGAACTAAACCTAAGGAGGTAATAAGCTGCCTGATGATGCCTGAAAGTGTCTTTGATGCCTGAAGGGACTAACAGACTAAACCCGAAATAGACGTCCGACGTGGACTTTCCGGTCGGGCGGTCTAGGCGGTGGACGTCTGACATCACTGCTGCCCTCTTGCTTGACTCACTTTCTCATCATCAACCTTCAGGCAGGAACAAGCCTCCTTCCCTCTTATCAAGGATGCTCTCCTCCTCTCCTCCTCTCCTCTTCTCTTTTGTTCATCTTCTACGTGTTGTTGCTCCAAGTTAAACTTGAATAATTGAGACATCAATTGCGATTCCCGACTCCTTCCCCCTCCTATCCTTTCAACGGTTCTTTCCATTAGTCAGACGCGTCCCCCCTCTCGATCGCTCCACTACTTCACCTGTCCCACCTGGCACTGTGACTTTCTGGCTGCCCTGCTTTCCCGTGGTGGAGTCTCGCTCTATCGCGAACCTTCCTCGGATTGCGCATTACCCCTCAGTACCCCTCCTCCTCCGATCTCGCCAATTATACCTAGTATGACTGTCACTTGAGACAGCTTCGCATTGATGCATTTCAGGAGCTTTATGCACGAATTAAGTAGACTAAAATACCATTAAGCTCTCGGGACCAGCCCGGGGGATCCTCGCTGCAATCAACCAATAGCCAAGCACATCTTTAGACTATGGGGGGAGCCGCCAACTCGCCTGATGAGGCTGTATTGACAGGCTCAACAGATATGTAGTTGTGTCACGACGTAATTGCGAGACCAACTTCTGAACCATTCATGCGCTCTTGCAGATCCTGCTCGCTGAAGACAGCCGTGTCTATCGCATCTTCCGCAAATGGGGAGAGTCTTCTGCGAGCATTGCGTGTGGCATGCTTTTTGCTGGTTGCCTCTCGTCGTTGCTGCTCACTGGGTGTGCGCCTGGTCCCAGGTGAGGGATTTTCCTGTTCCTCCTCAACGGCCATAGGCAATGTGCTGCTGTTCCCGTCTCTCTCTCCGTCTTGACGAACGACGGGATCTGGAAGCAATGTTGTTGGTGTGCTGCCAGCCTCAACAGCAATAGCTTCTATGAAGTTTTCCGGTCCCTGCTGAGGCGGATACTTCTCTGAGGAAGGGCCGATCTTTCGACGCTTCGGGCTACTTATATCGTCATATTTTGATGAGGTTGGCATGGTTAAGACAGTTGCATGAGTGTCTTCGCTCATGTGGCTTAACTTACCGTGTTGACGCTTCATGCCTGTGGTGATAGCCTTCTGGCCTGTTGACGAGCCCGACTGGGGAGCAGACATGTCATGAGGAGATCTTTCAGAGTCTTCGCTGGTGCCTGTTGGCTTCCCCTCCGCAACATCCTTGACAGATAGCAAAAGTACATCGGAGGATAGGGGCGGGGCATCAGGCGGAGAGGGGACAGTGCTAGCAGATAGCCTCAATCGTGACCGCTTCTTTGCTTTCCCAGAGGCAGTCAGCAAGACCTGCTCAAAATGAGCGCCCCACATCGCTATCATGTGCTGCCCGTATTGTGCAATGCTTAGGTTGCGATCTCTATGCTGTGTGAAGGTGGGATCCGAGAGAGGCGCGAGGACTAGGGCACTCATAGCCCCGGCAAGATGGCTCGGGCTGCAACCATGACAAGCTGCGAATTCCTCGTACGGAAACGTGACTGCAATCTTGGTGGCCATGTCGGCGAAGAACTGGTCAGTGTATGGCGAATGGGTGTCTTCATCACGGCAAGTCAGCCTCAGAGGAGTCTGCACTGTCTTGGAGATAGTCTTTTTGGCCTTCCCTGCCATGTTAGCGCCGCCGATTAAGCAGAGTCAGAATTACAATTAGAATCAGTTATGGCTTGTTGTAGATCGCTGGTGAAGAATGGTCACCACGAGGAATCTGCGACTTTAATTGCTAGTGCTTACGCAGGAAGGGAAGGGAAGAAATTGAGACAAACCAGAGGATGCAAATTGAGATGTCATCATGATGGTTAGGAGGAAGGGGATATTTATGAGCACACTGCCGCACAGTTTTATTGTGAGAGTGTCATTGTCCAGCGAGATTCACAGGGAAACATGCAGAGGTTGGAAGACTGAATGGTTAGATGATTAAATGAATGAATGAATGGATGATCTGACTGGCATCTAGCATCTTGGAAGTAAATTGTATACGAACAGCGTAGGAGATGGAGGGTGCCACCACCCGCGGTCTGGGCCGGGTCCAATAATAATGGACAAATTAAGCTTTGGTCCCTTCCAACGCCCACTTGCCCATGTCTTTCGCTCGTCTTCCTGCTTTTCCTCTTCCTCTTCCCTCTTTTTCGCCTCCCCAGAACATTATCCTCCCTCTTTCATGCCTGGTGAATCTTCTTTTGTTACTGTCTTTCAACCCTTACCCCATCAGGTCTCTGTTGGCCTGCAATGGATTCTATTGAGCCTGTCTCTGGTGCCTCTAATTCTCCTCCACCCGACCACCTCCGACCGACGTCATACCCGGCACGACCACGGGCGCCTTCGCTGCGCTCGCGACGGCCTTCCATCAGACTCCAGCGCCTCCCTTCCTTTGACAGTTCCGGTGTACAGTCTCAACGCAATGCACAGACTCCCAATCGGCCGTTAGCCTCACAAGTCGATCTTACCCCATCCAGGCCCGATCCGGACGATGAAGACGATGACGCCTGGCAGGGAAACCGTCGCCGCAGCAGCTCCGAGCCCCGACCGGGACGATGGTCAACTGCCCCCAATCCGGTCCTCCTCACTCGGTTCGCGACAGGAGATCAGATGCACACTCTTCACGAAGAAGCCTCTCCACAGAGTCCCGCAGTAGCCGCTGATTCCGTACCACCGTTGCCACAGCAGAATCCTGAATCACTGCAAATTCCACGACGAGGGAGTCGCGGCTTCATGCGCTGGTCGGGTGGGGTGCCCGCCAACCGCTTTACCAGGAATCGTGCGTCAACCGTGAGTGGGAGTGCACCAACTCAGACGGCGGACTCAGGCGACGAATATCGGTCTCATATTGTGGATGTCTTGGATGTAATCGGTAAGTCGCCGTCCTTGTCGCACGACTCAACCCTGCAGGCCCCACTGATATCAGTATCCCGTAGATCCCGAGGTGTCGGCACTTTCCACCCTCACCAATGTCCAGAACTCACTATTCGTTCCTAATCTGGGGCCTTTCTTGAACCGTAATCAGACCTATACTCTTTCACCGCCGCCTGCACCTCTCAGGAACCTTGAATCGTCGACAAGTGATGAGGGCGAAGATGATGGCTACGAAAAGGGCCAGGAGCCCGCCGTTCGTCCTTCCATCGAGCACACCCTCACTTCCGTGGTTGATGAAGGTGGCGGGCCTCGATTTGCTGTCCTGCCTGAAGGTAGCGATCTTGCCGGTTGGTCTCCCGAGGAGATTGAAGAACTGAACGACCATGTCCGGCATATGTTGCACTCGCGGAGATCCAAGTTCAAGCGTGCCATGAAAGGGTTTGGGAAATATGTCTCTAAGCGTATGTCTGAATATCGCTACAGAACGAGCAGGTTACTAACGCACTGGTCTCATAGCGCTGGGATTCTTGGTCACATTATATGCCACGCTGATTACACTTTTCGGTCTGGCGTGGGTGTTGTTCTTGATTGGTGTGTATTCTGTTTCATTCCGCTGCAAACATGCTGACCGTTCAACAAGGTTGGATCAACGTCGGAGGCCGGCAGTCGTATCTCATCAATGTCATCGACAACGTTCTTGTGGCCCTGTTTGCCGTCATGGGCGATGGGTTGGCTCCGTTTCGCGCCATCGACACATATCACATGATTTTCATCGCACGTTATACCTTCCTGACATGGAAGATCCGTCGAAAGCGCCGACTCCCCGATCTCAAGAACAAGAACGATTTGCCTTCACGCCGAGAAGAGGACGTGGACGTTGAATTCGGCGACACTCCCAAGGAGGAAGAACACGAGTTCAGCGTGCTCGGACCGGCGCAGCAGGCCAAATTGATTCACCATCAAACCAAGCTTGCCAATTCGCACACCTTCTACAAACCACACGAGACTTTCACCCACCATGCCTTCCCGCTGCGCATGCTCATTGCTATCGTGGTTCTGCTAGACTGTCACTCGCTGTTTCAAATTGCCCTAGGCGCCTGCACTTGGGGCATCAGCTACCACGTGCGCCCATTTGCGTTGACCACTGTCATCCTCTGCTGCTCGATCTGCTGCAACATCTCCGGCGGTGTTCTGATTATGATCGGCGATCGGAGGACTCGCAAGAAGGACGTCGTTGAGCGCCTCTTCCGACAGGAGCTCACGCAAGAAGCCATGAAGAAGATGCGGAAGAAGAGACGCAAGGAGGAACAGAGCAAATCCGAGCATCAATCCCCCTTGACTCGTTCTCATTCGACCTCGTCGAGGACTGAAGACACGGAACCGTTCCCGACGGTGTCTTGATCTGCGTCGTCCGACTAAATATGATAACTGCTCTCCCACGCGAGGGATAATGCACGCTATCTCTACGAAGCCACGACCGCTACACCAGACCAATACTTTGCTGGACACTACGAATAATAAACCTACACCCAACGGCATCATCCGTTCTAATCCATTCCACAGAACCTATCCACTTCAGCAACAACGATGGTATACTAAAAAAAGACACGTCGTCCTAGATGGGTCGTGGCTTTTTACTAAGAGCTCGCTGTTTGCTTTTTTGCTATTTACTTGTGAATATCTTGATTTTGATGATATCACTTTGGTTGATCAACGCATATATATCTATATCCCGTTTGCTGATTTCAAAACTAGCTTATTCTGCTTTACTCGCCTCCGGCATTTTGATACCATGAGCATGTTACTTTCTTACCTCTTGTGTTTTCTAGTTTTCCTCTATACGATGTAGTTCAGCGGGCGTAGAGTCCAGCATAGGAATTGACGACGCCAATCATAAATCTAAACGTCCTTCTGCCTTCCCATATAGAGCTACGCAACCACTCCTAAGCCTTACAGTTCCACACCACGCAAACAACCCACACCCAAGACTCCAGCCCAGAACCAAGACACAACAAAGGATATCACTCCCAGCTCCAACAAAGAGAAGCCCGGCGGCACAACCCGCTTAGAGCCACCACCCCGAACCATAGAACTGAAGCTTGATACTCACGCAACGCGCATCTCGTGCAGGGGAGCTGTCCCTGTCCTGTCCTGTCCTGTGCAGGAACTTACACCAAGCAAACACCCGTCAACTTCCAAGTTGAGCCTCGACGACACCCTTCCAGAACAACGCACCGACCCCATCTGAACCAACAACACCCCATCCTTTCCTCCTTGATGTACTCCGTTAGGTATAGTACTGTACCATCCTCATCCCCACATAACGCAGACTAAACACCAGAGTCAACAACAAGACAAAAAAAAAAAAAACCAACCAACCAACCAACCAACCTTCCATCACCCCTCACCCCACAAAGCCAAACCCCGCCGGGCCACCCACCACCCATCCTAAAGAACTACAGAAATTCCCCATCATCGACAAAAGCAGACGCATCTCAACACGCTTGATCCTGCGTATCAAACCAAACTCCCCTAACCCCCATGAGAACGAACCCATGCAAGCGTGCTGAACCAGACAAAGCCCCCACCAAAGAAGGGATTCCTGAATCTAGGCGCATATATAAACCCCCACGCACGCACATTGACCCTTCCAGCGTCCTTCTTCCTACACCAACCCGACCCAACCCAACCAAACCAGACAAACTCCCCAGCCAACAGCTAGCCAAACTAACCAGCCAAACTAACCACATACGCAAGCACAGCCAGCCATCACTTACCGAAACCCCAAAGGACCCACCGTTAACCAGAATGTGCGAGCAAGTCTACAGCCACTACGCGGGGTGCAACCACCTCTACCGCGCCGACATCCAGTGGTGCGAGGCGGCCAAGGCGCGGTCACGGCCGCGCGAGCCGTGCCGGCCGGCCCAGGATCTGCCCATGGTGCTGTCCAAGTGGGAGCGCGACAATGTGGGGCTGTGTGACCGGTGTCTGGACCTGAAGCTGTACGGGGTGCATAATGCGCGGACGACGCGGATGGGGTGGTACTGAATGCCTCAATATCCTATCTATCTATCCCCTTAGGGACTAAGAAGGATAGAGCGGAGTTTCATTCAGGATGGAAGGATAGAATAGGCCGAAAGGCAGGGTGATGTTGCGTAGGGGGGATAGGGTGGTTTCTCTAGTTTTCCTTACTTCTCCTCGGTAGATGAGACGAGGTTCAATTCAGATTTATTTCTTTATTTTATTTCAGACGTCACGATTCCCATGTGTGAGGAGCAAATGAGTAGAGTTAAATAAGGAAATGATTCCAGCTAATTAGCGCTGGGGTCTAGCCTAGTATCGGGCCACTGTATAGACATATAGTGAAGGAGCGAGTGAGGGTTGGGTTCATGTACAAACAAAAAGAAAAGCTCACGCTCGACACTGATTATCAGAGCGAAGACAAAGTTTTCAACGATAGACCAGGACGTAACTGAAAAAAAATGATAAGAAACAAACAAATAGCCAGCGTAAAGCATGCAAATCCCAGATTGATGATGCTCAGAGGACAACTGCTGGATTCGACTCAAATCAGAATTTTAAATCAAGTGTGCCGATCACACAAAAACTCGCTCAACAAACATGAAGTGTAAGAAAAGCCACGAGAGACTAGGTCCAACTACCAGCCAAGCAAGGACTGGACCTGCACAGAGGCATATAGTACTGTACTTGTCGCTTTTGTCTGAGGGAGAACCAGACATTATTTACAACTCCCGGTGGAGTGGTTCTTGCTCCACTGGTTTGGTGTCGGATCGTCGGTTAGAAAGAATCTTCTCGAGGGTGTCGAGCCGCTCGCGCGTGGACCGGATGGCATGGTCCATCTCGAGATCAGACATTTTCTCTTCGTTCACTCTGCCTGCGAGCGCACGCTCACCTTGCATCTTTCTCGACAGATGGTGCGTCCGCGAACCGGCCGGCTGGCTGACTGTCGGAAAGGCAAGGCCATCCATGCCAACCCGGTCTTCCAGCCAGCTCCAGAGCTCACTTTCCTCTCGGCGCCACATCTCTTCATAGGCAGCGAGACGCTGGGGCAAGGAGTAGCCCGGACAC